AAGTTAAGTGCGACGACAGTGGATATCTTAGTTAAACTCTATGTATATATTATAAAGACATTTAAATCTCCTAGACCTATTTAATTCATTTTTTCCTAGAAGAATTGTTACTAAAGTTTCAAGTTTAGAGAATGAATAAAAAAGAATCATAACAATAAGTCGCTATTTTATACTGTTGTTCTTCATTGCTTTTAATTGACTTTCGGCAAACTGGGTTCCGGCAAACTGGGATTCGTGGTTTTTGATTCAGCAATCGTGCACTCGGCAAACTGGGCTTTGACAATTTGGCCCTGATCCTTTTCTACACACTATAAGCTCATTCTTCTAAATCCTTGCCAGAACGTTGTTCATATATTACGCATATCTCTGGTGAACAGCCTAGCACACCTACACCCCACCCATCTCAAAGATTAGTATCCTAGAGCCACCACCCTGCTTTATCAAAAGATTAGAGCCTATTATTTTAACGCCTTCCATATATTTTAATAGGTCATGTAACTGGATTCTTTCTAGTGGTTTTAGCAGCCCATCTATCGTCCACTAACTCTCTAGTCGTCGAAGGTCAGTCACCCCTTACTCCAGGAAATACTGGCACCACCTCTGTGCCAGACTACTTAGTAAAAAATCTGAGTATGTGGCTCATTGGTTCGGCCGATCCTACATTTCGAGCAAACCAATTCCCTACTTGTATTATACGATCGGAATGATGATAAAGAATGAAATCTGCTCCTAATAATAAGTAGATCTAAAGGAAATAAATAAATTAATAATCATTTACAATACACACGTGCGAGTGGTGGCTTCAGTAATTGACCGACAGGGGCCTGAATCAAGTGGCCGACTAGAACCTCGGTAATGGCCCTGGCATAAAATCACTTGTAGGGTTCTCAGGGAGAGTTTGAATGGCAGGGGGGGGGGGGTGGATACGATGCTTAATCCTTTCATTCATTCATTTATTTGGTCAATATCAACATAAGGATACATAAAAAACAAAAATACCACTTATAAATTTTAAAGTAATTAAAAAGATTTTTTTTTCTTTTTGTTGACTTTCTAGTGGAAATTATATGTTTAAATTTAATATATTTGGATATCACGCATTTTAACACCGGTTCTTGGCATTTTAATTTCAAGCATCCTGAGTTGAAGGAAACATGTTAAGCATGCGAGTTCACAATTCATATTAAATCATAATTCATAATATTATTTGCCTTATAAATTGGTAGCCACAAAAATAAATCATCCACATACATGTGTCAATATAATTTTAAATTACATAAACTAAACTAGGTACAAACAGGAAATCCACAGAAGGCAAAAAATCCACAGTACTAAAGCAGGTAATAACCTGTCAATCATGTACCTCAGTTTCAGAGCAATTTACCCAATTTAAATGGAGCAATTTCATTGCTAGCAATTTGACCGGTCATAGTGCTTACAAGAATTGCTCCGTGTAAATTGGGCTTAAGGTTACCAAAGTTTATAGGCTCTCGTCGGTGATTATTGAAGCAACAAATCAGAAGAAATTTACACTTCCCCTGTCTTCAGAAACTCCCATGTAGCCTACGCTTTTAGAGTATTAAGTTTAATGCACAATTGTATGTTATAAACTTTTAACCTTTTAGTGACACTATAAACTTTCAACTAATATCTACAACCATACATCACACATAGGCCTACGCAAACTACAATTTACGTTGGTGGTGAGGAATTGCCCAAAGGGACCCCCGGTAATGCACCACTAAGTTCCTGAAGCTCCAGAATGTACACAGGCCAAGCCAGTGAGGAGAATATATATTCTGTACTTCTAAATGTAAAGATGTTTAAAAGACTGGCATCAACGACTAGTTTTATTCTCATAAAGTTAAACATATAATTATGAACCTCTGAAGATTCGAGAGTATCCCATATATACAGCCTATGATGTAATAGTTTTAAGAAGCCTGCAGATATTCCAAACATTCCTGGAAATTTCGGATATCAGTTTTAATCACAATTAAGAATTTGTCTCTCATGCAAGCATATCTGTAGAGCAAAAATATAGATCATTAATCATTGGTCAAATAATTTGCCATGTTTGATTGAATACATATTTATAATAATTTGGTATTACACAAATTTACATTATGGCCGCCTAAATGTCATAGTTTAGGCATAGACCTGTCAGGCATTTAAAAATAAGTTACCGTGTGTAAATATAGCCTATGTCCCATCGGTATGTAAACTAATTAGAGCTACATATACTAGTCCGAGGTATAATAGGCCTAGCTACGCTTTTTTGCGGTTCGTTTTTGTAATCATGACTTTCTCTACCTTGAAAATGCGAGCCCCTTTTGATGAAGCATGCACTCATTAACCACCTATTGGATGGTTATGCCAATCGCTGATAAACCTATAGGAATTGAAAATTTTATCGGGTGCGATTTTGTCTGTCGAGGATAATGACGTTATTACAGCACAAAGTATCATATCGTGCATTTTGTGCCGACAATCGTTTTCTTTCAATATTGTGCGTTATTTCTAATTTTCGGAAAATGTTAAAATATTAATATATGAGATGCGCAATTACTAGTTAAGTACTGTACATACACTTCTTATTTTTTTTTAAGAACCAGTAAAATTTTTCCCAGCTCAGTGTTCTTATTTTTCTAACGATTTCAGGCTCAAAATGTTGTTATTTTCTCTTATTTTTACACACTTTTCAAACCTACACAATTATTATCATAGCAGTATATTACTGTACTGCATTTTAGAGGGTATTACAAAGTTACACCTATTAAAAATAAAGTTAAGGTTAATAAGAATTGTTGGTATTTCTATATAAAAACCTCAGTTGACATTTCACCTCATTCTCAATTTGTTTTTATTTTGTTCTTAATTTTTTTTAGCGATTTCAGCCTCATTGTTCTTATAAAATGTGTTATAAAAAAAGTACAAGTCCCAATTATTATTTTTATTATGAACTGCGTTTCTGCGTAGGGTATGCCTCCTCCGGGATACTGTGCCATCTTACCTAGAGCTTATGGCTTCCGTCATTTTGAATTCTCAAGTATAGAAGCGTATTTTTGCGGCATGTCAGAGGGTCAGTGATTTCCCTTCCAATCAAAAATAGTAATGAAAAATGTAACGACAGAGCTCCACATGTTACAACCTGTCCAACCCAATGAAGGGCAGATTGTAAATTCCCACTCCAGGCCTATTTTCATTTTATGACGACCATAATAATTTGTAACGACTTAACTTTAATACATAGGCCTGGCTACCTTCATCTACCAATTTGTCAATTGAGTGAACATGTCAATTCTAATGTTAATAATATAGCCTACCCACACTCCTATCTCTCCTGTTCAATTGCCTTCCGACGCATTGAGTGAGTAAATGAGTACAGTGGCCAAATATTAAGTGCAGGGGAAATTAACTATTAATATCACCAAAAAATATCCATGCAATATTTGTATCATCAATAGCCCTGCCATCATCACCATCATCACTGTCATCGTTTTAATAACAATCATCACCATCATCGAAATCATCATCGTCATCATCAACTTTGTCTTCATCATCATTATCATAATTATCATCGTCATCATTATACTCATCAACAGCAACAATCATGATCATCATTATATATGGCATATACTTTAGAAATAACTATGTGAATGAATTATCAATTTTTGTAAGAACTATTTAGAACATGGAGGTGTACCAAAAATGTCTTAGGCCTTTCGGTCCTTCAGGCATATTTTTTCAGTTAATTAGAGTAATTATTTTTCATCATTATCTTTATTAATATCATCATTATCTTTATCATTTCCATCATCATAATAATATAAGTATTATATCAATACAGTCATCATTATCATCACCAATATTAGTTATGGATTACTATCTTCTATCCCGGTCTTCTATTCAGTGGGGATCCGTTAGCCGCATATAGTTCTATCTAAGTACTGTACAAGTATCGAATGCATTGTCTTCAAAACACTTCTATTTACCTCTCTGAGAAACAATATGCATAAATAATGAAAAACTACAAATTTGAAACTGTGGGTTTACATTGCATGTGCATCCCTTAGGTACGATAGAGCTAAACAATTTTTGGGATTTAATCTTGTATCCTGTGCTGTGTGTAAGTATGATGCTCCGTAAACTTGCATAAGGTTACGCCTCTTGCGGTGAGAACAATTCTGGCGAACATTATATCGTCCCAATAACCTGGCGCGTATGTCTTATTCAATCAATACTTCTAGTAAGATTTCTATTATTAAACCTTACATCAAATTAATATACATTGATAGTTTCATTGGGCTCCACACTTTATAAACATTTGCCTCTCAATCAGACAGAGGTGTGAGTAGACCTACTTGTATGAGGTAGATCGAGAGAAAAATATGGGTAGCAGCCATGTGATGTGCGAAGCACCGAGGAGGGGGAGGGGTGTTGGTGTTGGAGATTTTTTTTTCTTCTTTTTTTTTTATAGAAATTCTTGGCTGTAGAAAGTGGTACGTGGAATTTAAATTAAAAAAATAGCTTGTTTTGGAGTACGTGCTCAAGTCCTCCTCTTTTCTACCTTTTCTTTTTTTTTTCTTTTTAGAGTGGGGGTGGGGGTTATCCCTGGTTGCCTCCCGGATCCGCCCCTGAGACATGGAATATTTGTAATATATTGAGGTAACTGTACTGAAATGTACTGAGAAGGATTTATAATCTGCATGATTATTCTGCACCTGAGCCAAAGAATGAATAAAAAGCGATCAAAAAAGGAAATACGAAACTACGATACGAAAGATAAAGGTACCGTCTGAGAAATATACACTGTGATCAAGAGGATGACGGTTATAGCTATGGCAGTTAGGTTGATAATGAGGTTGTGATCCTTATAATATCGGCAGGCCTGTTATTTGCCTCCGGCCGAGTGAATTTAAGTGAAACGGATACATCACTATTTTGTTAGCACTATTGGAAGCATGCAATTAGGTAACATGGTCAGCTTTTATTGTCAAGGACGGACAGTTCCACTGAATCACCGGATTTTTGCATTCTATGGCGAGCCGAATTGTCACAGTTTTAAGTATATAGATATCTATTTTAAATAGAGATATCATTATTTTAGATAGAGACTCTATTTTAAATGGAGGTATCTTAGTTTTAAAGAGATATCTATTTTAAATACAGATGTCTATAGTTTTGAATAGAGATAATATATCTATTTTAAATAGGGATAGGCCTATCTTAGTTAAAACAAGAAGGTATAACATTATTTTTATACCTCCTTGGTTAAAACTAAGAATCAAAATTTAGATATCTATTTAAAACTAAGATGTCTCTATTTTGATTAAATGAAAATTCGGCTTTCCATACATTCACAGCAGGAGGAATTGAAGTGAGGATATCGTAGTCTGTTTCATGTTGGCATATCTCTTGCAGCTTTTGAGAGATGACAGTACAGCTGACCGACTTCGAGAGTATTATCTCTGGAGATCAAGTATAAGCCTATAGTAGTAAGCTTCATCCACACTCAAATTTTATGTGACAAATAACTGTGATGCTCATACTTGGGTGTAAAATTATATCATCATGCCCGTATTATGGGCGCGTCACCAATCGCATAAAATGTGATAGTGCGGAGAGAGCTTTATACTGACGTGTCGGCTGACTAGCTTTCCGAGGAACACACTACTTAATTCTCACATATAACATATAATCGGGTCTACATTAACATACATACTATGGCAGGACTACAAATGTAAAACTACATAATGTACTCCAAACGCCTCAAATGCTGTCGTATTCACGCAACTCGGAAGTTTATATTTTCACGGTATGCCTACTTTCTTTCTTTCTTTTTTTTTCTACCTTTTGGTTTTAGTCCTAACTTCAAATTGAAGCATCGAACATAATCCTTTAAGTACATACTGGGATTCCACACTACTTTCAACTCCACCAACCCACCCGCGCACCGTTGCCTCGGAAATTAAGTCAGGAACTTTATTCAGCTGTTTATCCAAAAGTTCCATGCACGCTGTATTAATGGGATGACTAATCCATTATTATACGTTAGTAATGTGCCAGTTTACTGTCCTGGAATTCAGTATATTAACCTTCACATTAATTCATTTTGCTTGTTCTGATTGTTCACAGAAAATGATGGCCGAATTCAATATAAGCAACGAAACAGATGTACAATGTATCAAACATAAAGGAATTGATCAGTTGCTTGTGCCTATTGTCTTCATGACTATAACATGTATTGGCGTCATTGGTAATGGATTGGTTATCTACGTCATCGTCAAGAATAAAGCAATGAAGACTGCGACAAACTACTACATCTTGAACCTTGCTATCACGGATGTGGCCTTTCTCAGTTTCTGTGCACCTCTCACAGCCGCAATGTATATATCTGCTGAGTGGTTATATGGAAGATTCTTGTGCAAGTTTTTTTATTACATGATGCAGGTACCGTACAATAAATGCGGATCCACCATCCACGTTTTTATAGTTACCATATACAGAAAGTCAAATATCACATCTGACAACGAACACTGGCTGATGACGCGATATAATGCATATAATGACACGATATAACGTAACGACACAGTAACTGTATACAATTAATCATCTATGAGAGAAAGAATAGTGGTAATAAATCAACGTATACACCTTGTAATCGTTAGTAAACTAAAAATAGTTCTTTTCACGAACGGTTTTGAAGAAAATTACACATTTTGTTCATTCAAATAATAATTTTTAAACAGTCTGCTTTCAATATATTCAATCTTGGAGGAAATAAATTAATTTTATTCATGATTTAATCTTGACATTATTTGGACCCTAATTAAACAAATAACCAAGTGAAACTTCTTATTACATTCTTTTTTCAAATATCAGAATCTGAATTGTACAAGATTATTAGGCCCTATATAGAGTTCATAAAAAGCTAACATTTTAAACATCTACATAAATATTAATGTTAAATAGGCCTAATAAAAAGTGCAATACATAGGCCTAAGTGCTTGCTAAAGACATAAAAATGGTAACATGATTGGAGGGATTAATCTTTTTAAGTACCAAACTTACGGTGAAAAATAATTATAGCTGGATGATGAAAGAGTGTAGTACAATAAACATACCAGATACGTGTAAAGCTAATGTTTGCTATTGAGCTATGGAAACCAGTGAGTTCTATGTCCCAGGACCCTGCTTCTAGTGATAAACCATTGAAATGTAAGGTCACTGACGAACCACACAACAAGGATCTCTGTCCAAAGTTATAAATTCATTTAATAACACATTATGGGCCATCCATAATTTTCAAAATCACAAAACATACGCTTTGGAGTGGAATTGAAAATTCAGGCTAAGTACTCTTTTATTATGAAAAAGATAAAATTATGATTCAAAAATGACACAAAAAACATTGTGTATTGCTCTTTCAGGGGATCAAAGAAAGGAGTGTATTTTGTACTCTTATGAAAATTTTGAAAATTATGGATGAGCCCTTATCATATTTTATATTTTATATCAAAAGATCAAACAATGTTAGTACACACACCACATTATTCAGAATTTTTAAAAAACCGATATATTTTCAGGTCACTGCACAAGCTACTTGCCTGACATTGACTGCCATGAGCTTAGATCGCTTCCAGGTCATCGTATGGCCTCTAAAATCTCTCAAGGGCAGAAGCACCGCCGTTGCTAGGGTCGGAAACATCGTTGTCTGGACAGGTAATTTTGATTGATTTATGTCGACATTTGTATGCTTGTCCAGGCCCGTAACCAGGGGTGGGGGGGGGGGGGGTTCGGACGAACCCCACCGTTTGCTAGCTTGCTCCGCTTGGATGGCAAAAAAAAATCTCCAAAGAAGATTGCTTAAACTTAAAAAAAATAAAATAAAACAATCCTGTTCAAATAATATTTATAGACAGTAGCATCTTTTAATACAAGTTTCAAGATGGAACTCTTATTTATGTGGTCAGCGTAATTGGTTGGTCGTTAACATCTTCAAAAGGCTCCACTTTTTCCAAATTTGAACCCCCCCCCCCAAAAAAAATCCTAGTTACGGGCCTGTTGTCCCATCTTAGTAATCCACTCAAAATAGCTTACAGTAATAACCGAAACATTGGTGTAAAAAAGAAATTTTATGTTTCGTCGTTTCAAGGCGTATTCACGTTGACCTCTGCTTTATGTCTAGAACTATAGCGCTGTTCCCATTCTTATGGAGAGTAAAATCAATTGTATCCAATCGGGATTTTAAGTTGGTTATGAGGCGTATACATAGAAGGCTTGAGCTCTTGACAATAGCGATCTTTCAAGCTCTAGTAGTTTTATCCTATTGAATGATTATTCATTAAAAAAATATTTAAAATTAAATTATTGTTAATTAGATGAATCATCAACTTCTCTCTCTTTCTCTTTCTTGCAGTGTCTGGTTTTGCATCACTACCAGTGGCGTTTTACTATGATGTCATCTACAATCGTTTTGCGTGCTTTGATGTATGCTTTGAAAATTGGCCAAGCACGTACTGGAAGACCGGTTACACTATATACAGCGCATTCGCCTTGTACATCATACCTGTGGTAGTGATAAGTGTTTGTTATTCAGTGATGCTCCGGGTTCTGTGGCGTCAAAGGATTCCTTTGGACGAGCAACACCATTCTATCAAATCAAAAACTCTGTACCAAAAACGAAAAATTACCCGGATGGTGTTGGCAGTTGTCATTTTGTTCGTTGTGTGCTGGTTGCCGCAACATGTCTTGGTTCTTTGGATCAGACTGGACTCTGGCTTTCCATATGGAATTGCAACTTATACTTTAAAAACTACAGCACACATTATGGCTTACTTGAATTCGTGCGTAAATCCGTTTGTATATGCATTTATGGGAGAGAATTTTAGAAACTACTTCAGAAAAGCATTTCCAATCTGTTGCAAGCAGAGTGATGTTGTTCCAGATACTAGAGTTCTTAGACCGACGACGAAATACACAAGAGAGAATGGGGCGCGGTTTAGCTCCCGTTTCGCGTTTAACACGACGTGGAAATAAATAAAGTATGTAGTTATTCCGATTTCGGAATGTCCGTTGTCGCTGCAAAAACTGAAAACTCAAGAGTTGTGTAGGCCTACTACACAATATACGGTACGCAATTTTGAAGTTTTGCGTTTTTATGATCACGCAATAACACATTTTGACGGTAGTTATGTGATGTAGTTCCACTGACATTGAACTGAAAGGGCATTATTTGAGTAGGCCTATGTCCTATCCATGTTACACCAAACCCCCCCCCCCAAAAAAAAACCAAAAAAAAAAAACGCCTCCCTCGAATAAACGGCTCCCTCAAATAAACGCCCCTCAAAAACCCTTCTCAAAACTCCCCTGGGCGTTTATTCCAATTAAATACGGTATTTAAAAATCGGAATATCTACGCCTTAATACAGAATGCCTACTATAAATCTGAGTGAGCAGCGCAACACAATTATTTTGTAGTTATATTGTATAGTACGCAAACAACACCAGAAGTGTTTGCGGCTGGTGCAGATAATTCAAAATCGGGGTAATGCATAGTGTGTAGGCTTGACAGTCATAGCCTATAAAATTAACAAGGCACTAATAGGAAAGACAGGAGTGGGGAGAATTAAACAGGAAATTAATTTACAGTAAATATTTTAAATTGGCGTCATCATCAATAGAACAAAAATGAACCAAACAGCGAATTCTTCCCAAAATAGACGGATACGGTACTTTACCGAAACATGAATCATTTTCTTCTACATAAAAAATGACAGTGAATGTGTATGTATGTAAAAAGCATTACCAAAAGACTTCTCGTGTGTATATATATAATTACGTATGTAATAAAGCTAAAAAATTAAATTATCAATCTCCTTGTCCATAGTAAACGAAAGGTCATACAGTACTGAAAAAAAATACAAAAGAAAATACATTCTCCTGTCCTGAAAATTTGTAACTATGATGTAGGCCTATTGGTTAAGTGCTTCACGTATGTTTTTGAGTGACAGGATCTGTGTGATTAATGTTAACGTATGTCCAGAGACTAATCACATCATCGTATCGACTAATGGGTGACTAAAACAGAAATTTGATGTGCCACGATGCTTCAAAAATAAATTCATAAAAGGTTTGTTATCTATAGAGAAAATTTAATTACTGTTTGAGAGAAACTGAAAACAAAATGAAAATAAAAATCATGTACACTCGGCATAATTATAAAATATTAAATTTATTACATTTTTTCGTTGACCGATGGTTATAATATATTTAGATTGTTCCAAAGTGACTTAAATTCCCATACACAATTAATTAAATAGAGTGTTTACCTATAATAATATTATTAATAATAATAATAATAATAATAATAATAATAATAATAATAATAATAATAGGCCTAATAATAATAATAATAATAATAATAATAATAATAATAATAATAATAATAATATATAATACCATCATAATCCATTTTATATGATAGTGTTTCAAATTCACAATACTAATAATTACGATCATATGACTTTCTTAATATTTATTTTTTATGTTCATTACTTTTATGGTGATCATCTAGGCTTATTCTTCATTCCAGTGTAGAATGAACATTCAAGCATGTACGTTGCATTTTTAACTAATATAATACTATTGATAGTAAATCTTGACTTCCATTGATGTCTGTTATCTATAATTTTTATTATACAATATATTCTAATTTGGTTATATATGTTTTTCTAGTATTTCCATATTTATGCCAACATATATTAATATGTAAGAGGGGAAATGTCTAAATCTGCTTGCCTTTGCAGGTAAATGTGTTTTGGAATTTGGTGTCTATGTTTAAGCTCTGCAAAAACGGTTTAATGGGTTTGATAACTTATAAAATTTTCTTTCATGCGTTTTGTAAATAAGAAAGGTGGCTAACATTAATTAATTGACATGATGCTTATAATTTATATTGGGAATTAAATTCATTCTGATATCTATTGTTGTGTAACGCCTATTCAATTTGACACCAAATACTACAGTGTAAAAAACATCATATGTAGGCCTACACAGTCTTATATTCTATGTAGGAACGATCTGGCGCAGACGTTGCGGTCTAGCTTCCGGAGGTTCAACCCCCCGAGTTTGTCCTTGGGCAAGGCACTTCACTTTGAGCTTAACTTAAGGTTATATCTCTCCAACCAGGAATACAAGTTGGTATCTAGTAGGTTTTTATCACAAAATGCACTGATTACTAGCTGCAGTATTATGGAATTATCCCAAAGGGGCTGGTGTTCCATATGTTTCTGTGATCTAGTTAATAATGTGAAGCGCTATGCTTTACTGGCATGAAGCGTTATATAAGTTTACATTATTATTATTACAGGCCATAGGGCAGGAATAACGGAGCCCCATGGATTTCATAATGGTAACAATTTGGTCATCAGGCATTAAAAATAGCATGAAATTGTTATTGCTTATAAAGTTTTCATAACTTAGGCGATATTAACAAAAAGATCATTACCAAATTTAGGTTAAAAGGTCCAGGCATAATTTTGTTTACGGATGCAACGGTTTATGTAAACAATTTATTGCTTTACACAAGTTGGCGTATTTAATATGTCAAATGTACAATTGTAGAACTTGGCTATAAGGTTGTTTTTTTTTCTAGCCGTTGGTCAGACCTAAACTCCAGAAGAAAAGATTGACAACAAATTTATAAATGGAATATCAATAATATCAGTAATTTCAATAATACAGTTTGGGAATATATTATTCATCTGTAGGCCTATCACATTTTTTTTTGTGCTTTACGATAATCAGGAATGTGTAGGCCTACTGGGTAATTTACACTATTAGGCTACCCCACAAAATTAGTCCCATCTTATGCATAGGAATACACGTTGTTTACCTAGCCTTCAAATTCATAGGACCTGGATTTAATTTCTGTCGATGTTGCAGAATTTTTCTCACGAATAAAAAAAACTCCACTACCTTAGCCTAATAGTGAGACTATAGCTCTGTCTAGATATAAAAAGGCGTGTCACATGTTTTTGTCAATCAGGACCATGATTTACTTTGCGTGTAGAGTGTAGAGCATAATGTCTGTATGTTTGCCTTGTGAAGGGCTGCCACCTACGAAAAAAAAAATGAAAAAAACGGAAAGGGTTGGAGAATAATGAATAGATGGCCAGAATACTGGTGCCTGCGTAAATAAGATCTCGGAGATTCTTTGAAGAACGGAAAAAGCAGCTTGGTGAGACCTCATGGTGAGACAATGTGTAGAGGGATTGCAGTTGTTAAAACAAGCGCTGGGAACTTTGACATAAACTTGAACATAATTATTATTATTATAAGTGTCCAGCGTTTGTTTTAACAACTGTGTTGCT